TTAAATATTAAATTTTATAATAGTAATATAAATATATTAAGAGTTAATGTATAATTGAAAAAGAATATTCAAAAAACTATGACATTCAGAAGTTTGCCGGTCCCAAAAAAATGTAAAATCTCGAAAGATCTTGTTAATATTTCTTGTCAAAAAATATATTCATTAAATATTTTTAATTACCAATATTTATAAAAATATCGACCAAGCTTCTGTAAATTTGGCTTTTAATCAACTCACAACCCCCATCTTTTTCATATATTCAGTATAATGTGTATATCGCGACATTGTATATTATTTTTCGCGTTGCAACAGATGCTGAAGTCCTGCAGGACCTTGAGCATGACCGTGCGGGGGCCCGCACTGGACCCCCGTTGTCGGGGCGGTCACCCTGTCTGGTCGTCGTCGGGTCGACAGCAGTCCTGCAGCTGGATGGATCGCCAAGGTCGTCCAGCATCCCCGCCACCCCTCCATCCGCCCCGCGATTCCCGCTACGGTCCGAGGACGCGTAAGGTCGAATTGTGCATCGAACCCGGTCAATCCTTGGGCCTGATGATCCGGGGTGGCCTCGAATACGGCCTCGGAATTTACGTCACGGGTGTCGACAAGGACAGCGTCGCCGATCGCGCCGGCCTCCTCGTGAGAATCACGCTTTTCCGCTAGATTTTAATCTCTCCTGATCCTGAGAGCCTTAGAGGACTCTTTAGAAAAAAATGTAATATACGCGATATTTATCGTAGAGTACATATAATTTATCTTAATATTTTGTCAAAATAAAAAATAATTGTATCACTCCTTTATATGATAAAATCAAGAGCTGTCACATTTTTGATAAAAGATCTCAATAACTTTCTCTCTCTATATTGACTATATTAAATAATCATTTTAAATAATAAATTCTCCCAACAATATATAAATTATTAAATTATTATTCCGTTTCTCCAACAATATATAAATAAATAAATTATTATTCTCTCGTAATTAAATAAACGTTACTTAATTATGAGTTATTTACTTCACTCATTTACATATTTTTTAATTAATTATATATGTATAATAACTATTAATCTTATATAAAGATGTTGGCTTGTTTATTTAAAAATTTCAATGTTTTCTATGTTTTCGATCTTGATTCTAATATGAGGCGTTTATTGAATAATCGCAGGTGGGCGATCAAATCATCGAGGTAAACGGACAAAATTTCGAGGAAGCCACGCACGACGAAGCTGTCCAGATATTGAAGACTAACAAGAGGATGAGTCTATTGATACGCGATGTCGGCAAGGTTCCCCATTCCTGTACCACCAGTCAGCCTATAGTAATCCCGACCGCCCGATATCCCGAGCACGATCCTTTGCTAGAAAGCCCCGGCAATCATCGACCACCTAGTCCCACGTAAGTCGCAAACATATTCTTTATCAATTTTTATTATTTCATCAACCTTTAATATTTTTTAAATAATTTATTTATATTATATAATATTAATTATAAAATAAATAACTTTTTTTATAATGTATGTGTGTGTATCATAATTTATGTACATGGTTGTGTGTGATTTTTGTATTGTCTTATTATTTTTATATTTAATATTTAGATGTTACTTACTCTAAAAAAAGAACAAAACTAGGGAAAAAATCTTGTTTTTAAATTAAAAATAATTTTTAAATCCTTCTTAATTCTATTTTAATAGTATGATAATATTAGTCTCTCGATCACATAGTAAAACCGTAATTTAATCTCATATAATGAAAAAATAACATTGACATATGTTGGCATTAATTAAATCATTATATTATATAATATTAATTATAAAATAAATAACTTTTTTTATAATGTATGTGTGTGTATCATAATTTATGTACATGGTTGTGTGTGATTTTTGTATTGTCTTATTATTTTTATATTTAATATTTAGATGTTACTTACTCTAAAAAAAGAACAAAACTAGGGAAAAAATCTTGTTTTTAAATTAAAAATAATTTTTAAATCCTTCTTAATTCTATTTTAATGGTATGATAATATTAGTCGATCACATAGTAAAACCGTAATTTAATCTCATATAATGAAAAAATAACATTGACATATGTTGGCATTAATTAAATCATGAATCAATAAATCGTGAACATTGAATAAAATCTGTTTAATTAAAATCATATGTATGAGCATATTCTCGGCAAATATTGCATAAGTCGTTTTTAGTTTAAATTTAAAACGCACAATGTCTAACTACTAAATCAAAAATTAATTACTCTATCGCAAGAAATAATTTTAAATAAACTAAATTTTTCTTCCACACACACACATTTTTTTAAGATTATTCATTTTAACGTAATATTATACCTCATCGATTTTTCAATTAAAATCAAGGAGTAGCACAAACGAGTGGAGACATCGAAGTGGCTTTCATACAATTTCGGCGGCCACCGCCGCCATGGTGGAGGAGAAGGCAAGAGTCGTCCTCGCCAGGAGCGAGCGAGCCGCACTCTCTCAACTTCTGGCGGATTACAGGACGAGAAGGCTGACGATAGAGGAATTGGTCGTCAGTCTGGCCGATTTGCTCAACACCCATGAGAAACTGACACTATTGACAGAGCTTAGGGAGCTCGTCGATAACAAAGACAGAGCGGCCTTCGACGACCTCGTCTATCGACCCCGAATAGCGATGGCCAGGGTAAGTTTTTAAATAATTTCTAAGATAATTTGGTAAGCCAAAAGTTCTAAGAATATTCGCACGGAATAAAAATATTATTAGAGTTTGTAAAGTTAGAGAGAACGTGAATTCTAATATATATTGATATCAAATGTAAGTTATATTGTAAAAATATCTTCTCTCTCTCTTTATAATAAAATTTATTAAGGTTTATAATAAATTTATTTTTGAAACATACACGCGTGTTTCAGAGACTTATGTATTATTTATATTAATATATATAAAAATACATCTAAAATTATAATTTTGAGGAAACCTTTAGCATTTTTAATTTTTAGAGAAATTTTTGAGGGAAAAAGGGAGAGAGAGAAAGGATTTTAACTATTAATACACATATTCATTTTTTAAATTTAAATGAATAAATCATAGAATTATATAATCCTCCATTTTTAAAATATCAGCTAACGAGTTTTCTGACCAATTTGGGAATATTTCTTTAGGAGAAACTAATATTCGCGATAAATTTATTCAAAATTTCATAATTTAACTCATATTAATTATCTTATAATCTAATGCAATTTCATTGAAACGCGTCGCACGATGAGAAAAAAACATTCCCCAAAAAAAAAAAATCGGGAGTCCAAGATGATTTCTAAAACGGCACTTTTTGTTGTTCTCTCTTTTTTAGAGAAAAGGCGACCGCGCTCACTCGGATTTGATAGTGACTCCCTCGCTGCACGATCTTCCGGTAAGTTGAACCTATCCTTACAACACTCTATTCATATCCCCCCGAGCTTACAAAAGACACTGACACATTTACACGCGTTTAAACTCTGCGGATCACACGCGCGTTTGCGCGCATTGTTATACGTATATACGAGCACAGAGAGACAACACGTACACGTACGTTTTTTTATTCTTCTCATCTCTTTACGATACGATGATGTATAGAGTACCGACTTTTTTTCTCTCTCTTTATTCCTCTCACTCACTGTTCTATGGATATCTCTATTCACCTTAATTGTTAAGACATTAAAAGAATCGCTTTGCATTCCCGCCCTTTTTGTCGATGGACTTTCACGGGGAAAAAGACGCAAAGAAATATTTCCCGAAAGTTCCTCGTCATGCGTGCACGCGTTCTTAATCTAGACTTATTGCGTCGTTAGAAAAAAATTATCGTCTCGCCGAGAACGAGCGAGAATTTTGCGAAACAAAGAGCGATTAATCTCAAGAGAAATGTTTCACGTTGATTTATAATTCGTAACAAAAGCGCCGTAATTCGTAATAGCCTGTAGAGAATGATAACTCAGAATAATTGCTGCCTTTTAATTTTAAATGAGAAATATAATTTATCTGAATATTACATATTTATCGTGTCATTTTAGACCATAAATATGTTTATAAGACACAAAGTTGAAAAAAGAAGTTATTTCACACATAAATTAAATTGATAATAAAAATTAATAATTATTATAATGTTTATATAAATTTATATTTTTCTATAACATAGATCCTTCACAGAATAATTTAATATTTTGGTAAATTTTGAATAATAAAATTTATAATTATTCTTGTATATATTATATACAACAAATTGCGGCGAAATAATAAGAAAGATTTTTAACATAAATTATAATAAAAAACGAAAGATCCTTGAAGAGGATTAATAGCGGCAAGTATTAAAATAAGTATTCGGCAACGAGTTATCGTTCGTTATCGGTGACCGAGACAGATGCCACTGGCAGTTGGAGAAAAATGGAAATACGCGATCGAGTATCGATTGGAGAGGTGCGAGGAAACGGAGAATACGCCACGCAAATACAGGAAGATGCTCTCTCTCCGAGAGAATGGAAGATCTCTTGACAGGGAATTCTCGTGATAATCTCCTGAAGATCGTTCGGAAAAAAAATCCTTCACATCGCTCTCGATCGAAAGAAAGAGAGAGAGAGAGCGCGCGCAGGCGATATTGATCGTCATCGCGATCGATTCTAATTCCGCGTTTGATCGTTCCGGTCTGTCGTTATCTTCTCTCCTCTGGACAAAGCATGACTCGACTGTCAGGAAAAATGACTTGCAATATCCCTTCGTCTCTTTCTCACTATCTCTTTCCTTCTCTTTCTCTCCGAGGATAACAGCTGCTTGACGACAATGAATAAAAAAACTCGCTCTTGTTCAAGGAAATATCAAGTCTGTCGGATAAACGACATGCCGACAATCAACTTTGTTCGATTTCTATTTGTGCCATACGATATAATATCCTGATAAATCTCGTCTAATGTCGCATTTTATGAAAACTGTAAGATTTTTAAATGCCAGATTTTTATATATTTTTTTTTTAATTAAAAAAAAATATATACGGGTATTCTCTAGTTTTTTAGCAGGCGCTAAAAACTAAGTTTGATATAATAACACGAAAACTGCAGAGAAAAATCATACTGCTTAAGTTATTATGCGTCCATTCTTTTCTCATATCCTATTTTTTCTTCCCGTTTTATTTAATTTCTAAAAGCAAACCTTGTTCATTTATCATCCATATTTTGTACTATTCCCTACATTTTTAATAATAAAATAAGTTTGTAGTGAATCGATTAGTAAAATTCGTTGCGTATTAATTAATTACGCTATTTATTTAATCGATGCGACATTTGTCCGAACGAATTTTGTTCGTCCAAGCGCAGCTTTTTTTCTCGGCCTATCTTTCTCTTCTTTTCTCTTTCTCTAGAATTATATGCGCATTCTCTACTTCTATTTTCTATATCTTTCGCCTTCTTTTCTGGGCTCTTATTCACCGCTAGCGCTGATTTCTATTATTTTTATAGTCTTGCTTATATACTGCGCTATCTTGCTCCCTGCGATTAATCAGTGTTTGTCGGCAATTTGAAAATTATCGATTCCTTCGATATCGATATCGGTATCTTAATTCATTATCTATTTGCTTTTTCGTGTAATTGAAAAAAAGATATATTTAATTAACTATGTATTGCTTATAATCGAAGGAATCGATAGCGGATAATTGAAAGAAGACATCAGGTGTCATGTGTTGCATAATTATAATTAGAAATAAAATTATAAGCATAAAAATATAATATATTGCACAATACACTCTTATATTGCATAACACGCTACACTTGAATTATAATTATAATTACGCTTTAATAATAATTTTACTACATTCTATATCTATATAAAATTGCCGCTCTCTCTTTGCTGCAATTAAAGCGAAGGTCTCTAATTAAAGTTTCTCATTATAAAAAGACGCTCTCTCTTGCACATGCATTCTTTCCCTTCTCATTGTTAGTCGGATACGATCTGTTAGATGCTTGCTGTTAAAAAAACGGATAAGTAGAAAACTGCTGTGCTCGCCATCTTCCTCCCTCCTTCTCTCACTAGAAGCAACACAACGGGAAGCATTTCGTTTCGTTTCGCGATATCGTGAAAAATTCGAGCCAAGCGATCACAAATTTTGCGAGAATGAAGGCCGTTTTCCGAAAAAAATATAACGCTTCGCACGAATATTACATACAATATTACAAACAAAACGCGATTTTTTGTTCGAGCGATTAACGCTCGATTTACGACGCTACTGACCGGGATAAGACTCGCGGATCGTTTGTAGATCATTTCCTGGCCTCTTCGAGAAGATCGGTAATGCCTTTTGGAAAGACGTCAGCAGACCTCGGTAAAAAGCGTCGTAAATCAAGTGTCAGCTGCACACACGGAGACAAATGTTACCGGGCGACGTGCGACACGTCGATCGATGATGAATTATTGTTCGATTGCTAATTTCGTCGGTAATTTCCTCGAGTACAATGAATAATGTACCAGATGGGCTATCACAATTCGACTGATCGTTTCCCGAGGTAAATAAACCGTATAAAACTCTGACATATTTTTTCTAGACAAATGAAAAAAAATTGAAGTGAATAAACGAACATTTGTACATCACGCGTATTTAAATTATTCAATTTATTACTAGTAATAATAATTTATTACGCGTTATCACATTTAGTCAGAAATTTATTTATTATTTTGATAATCTTAATTATATTGCTTCTGTTATATTTTGTTAATTTCACTTTATTATTAATATATATATCTTATTTTTATGAATTATTTTTTTTGTTATATTGTTATTCTAATAACTCTTAATTTTTGTTATATCTATATTTCATATATTTAATAACTTAAATCAATATCATTTATTATATTTAATATTAATTCTATTTTGATTATTAAATAATCTTATTTTTAATTAAACTTTCGACTTATTTTTTTCTTGTTGTAACAATTAACTTATCACTTTAAAAATTGAAGAAAAAAAATACATATAAAAAAATAAAAATGATGTTCACCAATGCGTTGTTAACGAATGAATTTGCGGATTCGTCGATAAAGATCGGAACCTGATGGCCACGGAAACGTGACATTTTCCTGTATCACCCAACCAGCGCGCCGATAAAATCATCGATCGGTCGGTCGCCCCTCGTTCGAAAAGAGAAAGAAAGAAAGAAAGAAAAAAAAAAGCACTCTTCTTTTTTACGCGGTAAGGGAAAGGGCGCACGGCATGACAGGACATCTGATTTCTCACAGAGGGGTGTGCCCGGTTGCCGTCCGGGACGACTGGTGGACGTCGAGGGAGACCCCCTAGGAGTGACGGGCCCTCTTCTACCGCGGGATAGCCAGGAGTATAGATCGCCAAGCGAGGACAGCGGTCTCGGGGCCGACATGCCCAGGACCAGGTCGACCGAATGATCTCTTTAACGCCGGAAGGACAGCGATCCGCCATTTCATTAATCGGCGTCGTGATCGTTGCGTGTCAGAAAAGATTGCGATTCCGAGCTATTACAAGCCCGGGTTCGGTAAGAAAAATTCTTCGCGACTCGTCGAGAGAAAATTACGAATGAAATGACGAGATGCTGGCTGAAAAATGGCGGCAGCGGTCCTTCCAGCGTTAATCTCTACCAACCTTTCCCCTTTTAATTCTCGCGTTAAAATCACCCCGTCTTTTGCCACTTGAAATTATCGTGTACGCGAGCAGTTTTAATTAATAAGGGTCACATTAACTCTCTTGCAATCATTTTCACCCGAATAATTACGAGTTTATTAAGTACAACTGCTCGTACGGGATGTTTTTCAACAAAAATTAAATTCCAGACTTTTTTTCCAAATACTCAATGAAAAATATTATAAATAGCAAATTAGAGAGCGCAAAATGAACATGATTATAAAACATCCCGTATAACGAGCAATAATTCACTTTCGAGAAGGTCACGCGGCGTTTCTGCGTAACGGCCAAAAAAATTGACAAACAGCTGATTACACTTCGTTTGGCGAGCAGTCACACTCGCGAGAAATTGTAGATTCGCGAAGTTCGAAGGAGAGGATCGCAGGTTGGCTAAAAAAAAAAAATCTCAAAGCGGCTTCCACAAGCAGGGAAGGATTAATATAATGGCGTTTCTCTGTAGGACACGCGATACATTGATACTTCATTTCCCGCTCTACATCGTTCCTGTTTTCTCGTCCCCCTTCCCCGTACCCGCTCCACCAAGATCAGCATCCCGACCCCTCTCTTCAGCATTCTCGAACCAGTAGCTGAGAACCCAGGTATGTAAACAGACAGACTGGATACGTACAGGGCACTTCAGCAACAGTTCAATGCACCTCACCTTCAATAGTTATCGAGACACAAAAATGACTGTCATTTTCGCTTTTGACAAAGTCAGAAGCAATGCTAATCACTTCTTATTATTGCATTATTGATTGATTTATAATAATTGAATCGAAAAGAATTTATTTCCAAAGAACCGTCTTAAATCAATATTTCTAAAAAATGGCCATTACATGTTACGTTACATGAAACTAATAGATACAGAAGAAAGTAATAGAAATCATATAATTTCCATTTTTTAAGACGATTTGGAAATAGGTTCTGTGATCGAGTCACGAAATTTAATTTCGCAGTAGACATCTAAATAAATCAATTTTTTCGTCTATCATCAATCTCTTATACATCCTTATCAATGATCGAAATCATCGAAACGTTTCTCACCCATTTTATATAAATTGCAAATTATATATTTTATAGGATACAATGTGTCAAATTATTTAATTTCCATCGAAAATTGATTATAATAATTTCAGTTTAAAATTTAAATTTTAAACTAAATAATTTTATAAGAGATTAATCTTATATATTATCAAAATAATCGTTATTCGAGAATTTATTAAGATATAATATAATAAAATATAAACGTATGATTTGACTTTTATCCTTGTATGAATACAACAGAGAGTGCTGACGTGACAAATATCTATAGATTAAAGAGGCCTTACAGAGTTAAGATTTTGAGAGGTTATTGTTCTGCTAAAATCTACGAAACGAGCGCGAAGGGCGAATCATTGCAAAGGTGATCTCTCTTCCACGTGGCGTTGCGTGGGAAGGAAATCGATAATTGAGGTGGATTTAGTCGCGAGTACACGACAGTTTTCACTTGTTCTCATTTCCTCTCGCGATACGAGTCGCTCGACACGTCATCGTCGCGTCGCGACGATGTCTGTGGGCTTTCGATTTCACGGTAGGAAGCGGCTGTTGCGCCGGCAAAATGTGAAAACGTCCCACGATTATTATTAACAGGAGAAGAATATATTTATCACTTCAATTAATACACAATCATATAAATGAAATATTAATCAATCTTAATGAAAGATCTTCCCATGCGAGAAAATTTTCAATTATTGAAACAGAAGGCGTTTGATATTTATTCGATATTTATTATTAATACGAGTGAAAATAATTAACATTAATAAAAAAATTCTAATAAAAAACTTTTCCTTACTCAATCAATTATTAATATATACAGAGATAAAATAATTAGCAAAAAAAAAATTTTTTTAAAGATTTTTTATCGTCATTATTCATCATCAATGGTAGAATATTCATCATCACAATTACTATTAATTAGCTGATATAAAATAATAAGAATGATAAAAATACTTTAATAGAAACTTCATTCTATATATAAATTTTAATTATAAAAATATTATATGCTTAATATAATAAAAATTCCATCATTACACTTGAATATCATTAAATCAAATAAATATCAGAGATGTATAAAAATATTTCACACCTATACAAATTTTCATTAAATATTATTTAAATGGAAAACCGTATTTTCTCTTTAAATATTATGTAATTATTATATATAATTATATATAATTTCATAGAATTCTCCTCTATTTCCTTGTCGCGTAAATAAAAACCAAAATGCACAAAACAGTCAAGCGTATTCGCGTTTCTGTCACAATTTTTTCTACCACGTTATACTTGAATCCACGTCAACTTTCTCCGGGAACAACTGCACGAAATCTGCATTGAATTGTATGAAAGGAAATTTTGCGGGATCGATAGCGAACGTGTGGCGGTCGGCGAGATATGATTCTGAATGTCGCGCGGAGGAAGATGAAATTCCGTGCACGAGCTTTCATAGCTTTCACGTGATAGTTCGCTCGCTTCGAATAACGCACAGAACGAAAGGAAAACGAGGACGTATTGCTTTTGATCCTGCGAGTCTGCCTGATTTCAATATACGCCTATGTGTCTTTGTGTCTCTGCCGATCTAATCTTTCTACCTCAATCTCTGTTCCTTTCGTCGCGCGGACCGACAAACCCTGAAAACTCTTTTTTCGAGATAAAAACCGTCTTCCTCGATTCTCGAAGAAACTTTGCATTTCACGTTATATTAAAGAAATATCATATTTTTCATAAGATCCTGCGTTACTTAAAAAAATTAATAAAAAAATGGATGGATAATTATATTAAATTTTCCATTAAAATTTTCATAAATTTTAAATTTGAATAATATGTACAGCTTGATTTGTATTCAAGTTTTTAAAAATAAATGCAATTATATTTGTTTATCAAAATATATTGAGTTTGTAATATAATCTTATATAATGAAAAATTTTAATGATTGTATTTATAATATATCCAGGATGAAATATTCAGCCTAATTTGTTTTAACTCATCCATTTTAAGGTAACGGATCTATTTACATTTCTGATTTCTACAAATCCGTTACCTCTAAACAAGATAAAAGTTTGTCACTCACCGACCAAGATGCGCAACAGCGGAGTTGACAATATTGAAGCTACGTTGATCTGTAACATATAAACAAAAGATCCAAATTATAGCGGCGTCCAAAATAATTAATATTTCAAAAAATCATTCTTGTACGCACTGAATTTTATATTCAATGCGTACAATAATAAGCAGATATATAATGGAACAATTTTTATAAATTTAAAAAAAAAAAATTTTTTTTAAATAAAAGCTTTTACAGAATTTATATAAAAATTGTTCTCTAATTCTTTCTTATTTAAATCGAGATAATCCGCGTACGCGATTTATGACAATTAATATACATTTAATAAATACTCACTCCAGGGTTGTTCCGCCGGCGCCCGATGCCTCCTGGGCCTCCTCCTCCTCTCAGTTCCTCCTCTCAGATTATCAGAATTATTAGGATCATCGGGATCGTTGACTTCCAAAAGTTCAATTAACTCGCGAAAAGTTTATATAAAAGTTCATTATGCCGCACGATAAAAACGGACGCGCGATACTTTGCACGGCACTCCCGAACTCGTATGCGCGACATTTTGTACGGCACTCCCGAAATTATAATTAAGGTGCGACGATGTTTCATCTCTGATGCGCGATGCAATGAAAACAGACGCGCGATACTTTGCACGGCACTCCCAAACTAATTAAAACGCGAAGGACGATATCGATCGGAAGCGTTAAAAAACCGCGTTTGGGTACTTAGCTTCCCCTTCAGGATAAACCTTCCAGGTACTGAGCCCTCCCACCAACGTCAAGGTGTACCCAATGGGAGGGTTATATTATATAATTTTGTAATACGATATAATTTATAAATTAATTTAATTTATTTTATTTTATAATATATTAATTTTATTATA